AAAGAATTTTGAATGAAAATTTTATTCTTCAAAATTTTTTCTCGAAATATTTTTCATCAAAATGTTTTACGAAAATATATTTTGTCAAAAAGTTTTGACAGAAATGTTTTTTGTTGAATTTTTTTTAATGGAAATGTATTTTATCAAAAAACTTGACGGAAATATTTTTCGTCGAAATTTTTTGATAGAAATGTTTTTTGTCAAAAAGTTTAACGAAAATGTTTCTGTCGAAAACTTTTGACAAAATTTAAATTGCGTAAAGAATTTTGATGAAATTTTTTTCGTCAAAAATTTTCGATGGCAATGTGTTTCATTAAAAATTTTGATGAAAATTTTTTTCGTCAATTTTGATGAAAATGTTTTTTTGTGAAATATTTTGACGAAATTTAGATTCCATAAAGAATTTTGACAAAAAAATATTTCGTCAAAATTTTTTACAAAAATGTTTTTATTCACAAATTTTGAAGGAAATATTTTTCGTAGAAAATGTTAGAGGAAAATTTTGATGAAAATGTTTTTCGTAAAAAAATTTGACGTAATTGTTTTACGTCGAAACTTTTCGATGGAAATGTGTTTCATCAAAATGTTGGACGAAAATATTTTCTTTAAAAGTTTTGACGGAATTTAGATTCTATCAATAATTTTGATTGAATTTTTTTTACGTAAAAATTTTATGTGAGTGATTATGGCAAAATCTGGTTTAGTCTTTAGTTTTGACGGAAATTTTTTTTACGTATATGATTTTTATCAAAAAATTTATCACTATTTTCGTCGATAAATTATGTCGGTATTGGAGACTTTTCTAATAATGTCACATTTAAAAATGATTCACATTTATGTAGTTTTCACATTTTAATGCTAAGGGTAGATAAGTAATTTTTAATATTTTCCTCCTAAACCCTCCAAATTGGGGGAACTTTAATTTTAAGAAGAAGGAGGGTTTTGGAGGGTTTAGTAAAAATCCTCAAATCCTTCTCCTCCTTTTTTTAAACTCACAAACAAGGGAAGGACTTTCTAAAATCCTCCATTTCCTTTCCTTCCCCTCCTAAAACCAACTCCCAAACAAAGCCTAGAGTTTCTAACCAAAGATAATTAGGATTTGCTTATTAAACACACTTGGGGTTAAATGACCAGTTTTTAGGCTAACTTTGGGAGATCATATCACCCTCCATAGAGGTCCAATAAGGATGTGCCATACATCATTTTGAAGCTTAAGATGTCAGCTATGTGGTGTCAAAATATGATACCATTTGAAGATGTGTAGCATTCTGTAGGTCCGATTGAGTGGAGACTGCCCAAGGAGGCCATGTGGAGGGGCTGTACGTGGCTGCATCTTTCATGATTTTTTTTTTTTTTTTTGTAAATTATCTCCCTCATTTCTTACTCAAATTAGGCTCATGAAATATTGAATAAAAGCTGAAGGTGTCTAGTTTTCTGTATAAAAATGTGAGAGCAATTGGTTTAGTACATTTTCCAGAATCGCAGAAATGGTGAGAGATGTTTGGGGCTTTGTTTGGGGTTGGCAGACAGTTTTGCTTGTTCAACATCAAACGGTGATATCCGGAGCTAGAAAACTCCAAATGAGGCACATGATACCTTGTTAAAAAGGTAATTGAGTCTAGATTAACATACTAAAAGATGAGAAGGTTATAGAAAGTGGGTTGCACACAGTGAATATAAAATAGAAGCGTGTACAGTTGTAGGAAAACCGTAAAAGTGAGATTCAAGCTATGTGGGTTTATGGGAACCCCTTAGTAACTTATAATAATCATATATATGGCTTAGATGAGTTGAAAATAATCTAAGTTAACTTAGTGATCCTAGAGTGTGATTCTAAGATTATGTAAGGTGGTTAAACTATGTGGTTGATTGTGTAACAAGTGAACACTTCATAATGCACTAAAATCATATAATTAAGTAATAAATAATCTAGACTTGTCATGGGCATATTATTGTCATATGAGTATAAAAAGTGGAAGCACTATATTATTAAGTCTTGGATATGACTTGATTAATTAATATTTAATTAATGATGTGAATGGTTCCTAATCTAGTTGTGCCTAGAAAACCTTGCACTTGAGGATTGTATTGGAGCATACGTATTATATTGGAGTGTGGGCTTGTCCTAATCTCTTTGAGGTAAGATCCTGGTTTTGGTTGCTCCTTTCTCTTGTGGCCCCACCATGATGGTGGGCATTATAGTTGTATTGTATGAAAGTATGTGGTATAATGTATATGTGCATTCATTCACATTCATGTAGATGTTATATGATTCTTGATGTTATGATGATGCACTGATGATATATGTTATGAGAATCCTGGCCAGTGATCATGGTATGTAGGCTGCCTATGACTTGGCTCTGGGAGCTATTTCATACTGAGGTTGTTTGATTGTCTATGGCTTGACCCTGGAGTCGCACCTGTGTAACAATCTATGGCTTTTACCCTGTGGTTACACAAGGATGATATGATGATGTTATGTTTATGTTGTATTCCTATATTATATGCTTTATATCTGACTTGTCATGCAGGAAGTGGGCTCAGGGGATTAGAGGATCCTCTATGAACCTTGAGTTTACTAAGATGTGTTATCTCACTCTGTTTGGAGACATCATTTCAGGTACCCAGAGTAGTGGAGATGCTTCTAGGAGCAAGGCTCCTGCCTTGGAGTAGTGGATGGCGATGCTGATTAATTATATTCTGATTAGATTTTGTGATGACATGTATAATTATTAACATGCCTAATTATCTTATGTTGAGATTACATTATGTATTTATTTAGGCTCTTGATTGTAGTATTGGAGCCATGGATTATTTACTGATACTTAGACATTTTAAAAATAAATATATATATGATGTATGTATTCAGTTATTTGGGCATGGAGCCTTATTATTTGTACTGACCCAGAGAGGGGATCACAGTTTGTGTGGGACTTGCGAGCTATCTGTTTAATTATTTTAACTATCAGGTTATTGTATGTGTGAGACCATATTCCCAGTTATCCGAAATACAGCCGTTATGATGTCTGCGAGACTCCGTCAGGAATGACACTTGAGGTCATATCCGGATGGTCAACGGCCACTAGTAATGGCCAATGGTTTTAATTAGTAGACTTAGATGTTAATGTTACGCTAATGCAATATATCAGATGAACGCTTTGAAAATATTTTAGAAAATATTTTGGAAAAAGTTTACTCGTATTTTTATAAGATGCTTTATTATTTTTTAAAATAAAGTCTTCCATTGTGTATGCTAAATATCATGTATGTTAACAACCGGAGTACTACGGGATGTTACAGATTGTGGCTGCTGTTTATTTTTATGCTGTTATGTTGTTATGTGGCATGTGTAGTGTTTTGACATGACTAGTCAGATTATTTTGAGACTATGTTGCTGCATGTAATAATGCTCAGGATTGTTACTGTTTGAGCTTTTGGATTATTGATGTATGTATTATGAGTTATGTTATATGTATGTGATGAGTACACAAAGACATGATGTATGGATTTATTAATTTGGGCACAGAGCCATTATGTATGTACTGACCCTATATGGGGATTGCAGTCCGTGTGGGACGTGCAAGCTGTCTATTATGTAACTGTGTCTATCAGGTGTAAATGTGCGTGAGATTCTGATCTCACAGTTATCCGTTAAATAACCGTTATGCTGTCTGTGAGACTCTGGCAGGAATGACACTTGTTGTCATATCCGGTTAGTCAATGGCCACTAATACTGGCTAATGGGATTAATTAGTAACTATATGTGTTAGATCTACGTTTTCGCAATATCTCATGTGAACGATTTTGGAAATATTTTTAGAAAACATTTTGAAAAAAGTTAACTCATATTTTTAAGAGATGATATTATATTTATTAAACTAAAGGCTTCTGCTGTGTACGCTAAATATCATGTATGTTAACAACCGAAGTACTACGGGGTGTTACAATTATGGTATCAGAGCAGTTTCACTGGGACGTTCACTGATTTTTTGCTTAAGTGTTAACAACCTATAGAGTGTTTCTTTGAGTGCTTTGTTAATGCATATGTCATTACTTGTATGAGCGTAGCTAACTCATTCCGGGTGTAGTTGTGTGCAATTATCATGGCTCCTCAAAGAAGGACCCGTCAGGTAGTTGAGGATCCAACACCGGATCCCATAGCAGCTGCTCTAGCAGCTCTTCAACAGACTTTGAATACTACTTGGGAAGCTGATCTACTGAGGTTGGCTGAGGCCAAAGAGAGAGACATTGATCACATGAGGAAGACCAATGAGGATCTCATGGCTCAGAACAGATTGGAGAACGTGGAGATGATAAGACTATTATTGGCTGAGGTTCGAGCAGGACCTCCACCACCACCACCACCACAGCAGGACATACATGAGTATTATAGGACCCGAGGCAAGGATACTGCAACCAATAGTCTCCAGGGGAAGACTACTCCCTGGAACGGGAAGAGCAAGGGCCTGCAGGTAAAGCAGAACAGAAACAAGTCTAAGAGGAATGGGAACTTTAAGAAGGAAAATAGAAGAGTTGGGAATGGGAAGACTCTTACTTGTGCTAAGTGTGGGAGATCTCATTATGGTGTCTGTCGAATTGGGCGAAATATATGCTACAGTTGTAGTCAAGCATGACATTTTTCTAAAGAGTGCCCCAAGAAAAGGGGGCAAGTTACGACTATTCAGGCTGTTCCAACTCCCATTACTATTGAGGAGCATCCAGTATCTTCAGTCACACGAGTTTATGCAGTTACCCAGCAGGATACAGAGAAGTCTCCAAATTTGATCAAATGTACCATTTCCATCGATGGCCATGATTTTGTTGCATTGTTTAACTCGGGAGCCACCCACTCCTTTATTTCGGGTTTTGTTGCGAATGGTTTGAACTTGCCTATATATGCATTTACGCCTCCTATGGTAGTAAAGACTGCCACCTGAGACTTAGTTTCCACTTCTTTGATGTGTAAGGAAGTCAAATTCAATTGTGAAGAGAAAGAGTATATGGTTGATCTGATTGTGCTTGAGGGTATGAATTTGCACATCATTCTGGGCATGGATAGGCTAGTCAGATATGGAGTCATGATTGATTGTTGTAGTAGGAAGATTTACTTCTCTGCTAAGAATGAGAAGAATGACTCCCCATATTTATCAGTGTTGCAGACGATAAAGGCTCTAAATGTGGGAGATGGGGGATATATCATGCTAGGAGGGTTGGTTGGTGACTCTAAGGAGCCAACTTTGAGTATCCCTATTGTATGTGACTTTGAGGAGGTATTCCCAGATGAGATCCCACAGTTTCCACCAGAAAGGGAGATTGAATTCTCCATTGACCTATTGCCTGATGTAGGGCCTATCTCTTTGGCTCCATACCGGAATGTCACTAGTGGAACTTGTAGAGTTGAAGAAGCAAATAGAAGATCTGTCCAGCAAGAATTTCATTAGACCGAGTGTGTCTCCTTGGGGAGCACTAGTTATCTTTGTGAAGAAGAAGGATGGAACCATGAGGTTGTGCACAGATTGCCGACAATTGAACAAGGTGATTGTGAAAAACAAGTACCTTCTACCTCGTATTGATGATTTGTTGGACCAACTTAGAGGTGCTTCCGTATTTTCGAAGATTGATCTTCATTCCGGATATCATCAGATCCGGGTAACAACAGAAGATATTCTGAAAATGGCTTTTCGATTTAGATATGGGCACTATGAGTATCTAGTGATTCCATTTGAGCTTACTAATGCCCTGGCCGTGTTCATGAGTTATATGAATCGAATTTTCAAACCGTATTTAGATTAGTTTATAGTGGTCTTCTTTGATGATATTCTGATCTATTCCAAGACTGAAGAAGAGCACGCAGAGCATTTGAAGGTAGTCTTATAAATTTTGAGGGAGCATCAGTTACATGTCAAACTATCCAAGTGTGAGTTATAGTTGCCTGAGATCCAGTTTCTTGGCCATGTTATTTCATCTGCAAGAGTGGATGTTGATCCAAGTAAAATAGAAGCTGTGTTGAATTGGGAGAGACCCAAGAATGTTACTGAAATCCGAAGTTTTATGGGTCTAGCAGGATATTACATGCGGTTTATCAATGGATCTTAAGAATTGCTTTACCATTGACTGATCCGAAAGGGGGTGCCATTTGCATGGACCCTTGGATGTGAAGTGAGCTTTCAAGAGTTGAAGGATAAGTTGACTACCGCACTAGTTTTGATTCTTCCTGAACCTGAAGAGAGATTTGAAATCTTTTGTGATGCATCCAAGTATGGATTAAGGTGCGTGTTGATGCAGGAACGAAAGGTAGTGGCCTATGCTTCTAGACAGTTGAGACCCCATAAGGAGAACTACCCTACTCATGATCTTGAGTTAGCAGCTGTGGATTTTGCCTTAAAGATATGGTGGGACTTCTTGTATGGTGCTAATGTCACAGTTTATAGAGACCACAAAAGCTTGAAGTACCTATTCGATCAAAAAGAGCTTAATATGAGGCAAAGGAGATGGATGAAATTTCTGAAGGTTTATGAGTTTGACCTTCAGTATCACCCTGGAAAGGCCAATGTGGTGGCTGATGCTTTGAGCAGGAAGACAAAGAGTGTGGCTAGCATGATGATTGCAGAGTATGAATTGATTGAGAAGTTCAGGGATTTGAGAATTCCCGTGACACCACTTGAGACTTCATATTTTATGACTACAGTTGAAGTCCTAAATTCACTTATGGAAAGAGTTAAAGTGGCCCAATTGCTTGATAAAGGAATTCAAGGGATGAAAGAGCAAGAGTTTGTATTCACAGATACTTCTAATGAAAAGTACTACAAGGATTGGCTGATTGTTCTGAAGGGGCCAATGGTAGAAGAAGTGTTGACTGAGGCCCATATGAGCAAGTACACCATCCATCCAGGTGCTACCAATATGTATCAAGACTTGAAACACAATTTCTGGTGGTCTGGGATGAAGAGAGATATAGCTCAGTTTATGAGCAAGTGCCTTATTTGTCAGAAGGTGAAAATTGAGCATCAAAAGCCATCAAGCTTATTACAGCCATTAGAGATTCCAGGGTGGAAATGGGCGAGCATATCCATGGACTTTGTTGTTGGATTGCCGAGAAGCCAGGCTGGATCTGATTCCATTTGGGTTGTGGTTGATAGATTGACTAAATCCGCCCACTTCATTCCAGTCAAGACGACTTTCTCCACGGAGCAGCTAGCTAGATTGTATGTCAAAGAGATTGTGAAACTTCATGCCATTCCTGAAAGTATAATCAGTGATCGGGATCCCAAGTTTACTTCACGCTTCTGGGAAGCATTGCATGAGGCCTTTGGTACTTAATTGAGATTGAGTACAACATATCACCCGCAAACGACTGGTCAGACAGAGAGAACCATTCAGACATTGGAGGACATGTTGAGAGCATGTGTTTTAGAGCAAGGAAATGTGTGGGACAAGTACCTTCCATTGCTTGAGTTCTCCTACAATAACAGTTATCACGCCAGCTTGGGCATAGATCTTTATGAGGCCTTATATGGACGTGAAAGAAAAAGTGACCTTGAAGGTCGAAACATGTGAGAGGGAAAAACAAAAATTTTCAAGCGGAATAACACATGCAATCAAGATTCATGCTTTAAGACAGCATGATGTTACCTTTGTTTGTGATTCAAACACCAAGGAGATCAGTGTCAGATTTGAAGGGTTCAAACCCTCTAACGTTGATCTACACCACCCCATGTCAAGATGCACGAACTCTTCTTGAAAAGCCACCAATTGATCACAACAAAAGCTTGCTAGGCGTCCAATGTGTGAAGGAGGAGGCTAGGTAAAGGTGTTTAGAAGAGTGAAGTCTTCAGCATGAAAACTTCACAAAAGTGGGGCATGGATGCTCTTAGAAAAGGCTAGGTTAATTCCAAAACACTTAGGGAAAAACCTAACAAAAGTGGCGCACCAAAAGGATGAGAGGAAGCAAGGATGCAATCAGATTTTTTTCTCCAAATTCTAATCACAAATGGCGCACTTAAAGGGAGAGAAAGGGTGGAGTTGTTGCAATTCAAAATTCCCAACAACCTACCATACAATCCTCATGAGACTAGATCTTTATCTAGTCAAAATTCTGACCTAATGGCCATCATATGGCCAACCATCTATGCCCCCCATTCAGCCCCAAAAGGGGTCCAGATACATTGAGCAGTTGCATTCAAATTTGAACCAACTCACTCACTGATTCTCTCAACCAACCAGATCTGATTGGAGCTTATTTGGTTGACTAGATGACACTTATAATCACGTTAAATCAGCGCCCCAAACAGCCCTTGGTGATCTCTAAAGATCTCCTCTTGATACAAGCGATTTGTTCCAACAAGATCTTATCTTATCCTTTTGTTATGAAACAACTTTTCATAGCCAATTTAAATTCAAATTCAAACATTTAAATTCAAACGTTCAAACATTTAAATTCAAAATTCAAATCTCAAATTTCAAATTTCAAATTCGAATTTCAAAATTCAAATTCAAAATTCAAAATTCAAAATTCAAATTCAAAATTCAAAATTTAAATATTTGATAATTAATTTAACTAATTAAATTAATTAGTAATGTCTTGGACCATCTAAGCCCACTACATGATCCATGCGCCCTTTTTCCTTTTAGGTGGCTTCTAAACTTCTTTTTGGGCTAACAACCATTATTAGGCCCAATACCTTTAATGCTAGATCATCATGACAATAAGGTGTTAGTGTGTCACCCATAAGGTCCAACAAAGCCACTGACATAAATGGGCTCGGGCCCAACAAGCCCACAACCCATTTAATGACAACACAAAGCACTAGCAATGCTTTGTTGCCCCAGAACTAGTTAGATTAATGACTTGATCATCCTATTACACATATTTGGTGGTCGTATGTATTTCCTTTCGTCTCGGTTACCTTCCCTTTAAACCTAGGGTGAGGAAGTGTATCAACCCTTGCGGTTTAGGGTAAGCTTTAATTCGAAATAAGGAATCTTCAATTTACTGACTTTAAAGGCAGATCATCTCATGATCTCTTTTACTATGCATAGATTCCCGAGTCTTGTAAATGTCATCCCGATTTCTCCGGTTTACAGATAACCTAATTCCTTACAGAGATTTGACGAATTCATTCAGCTTATCACTCTAGGCCTGTGCTCTTTCAGGACATGCCCAAAAGTATACCTACGAGTCTCCATGTTTCAGGAAGACGAGGTATACAATCAAAACATGCCTTCTAGAACACAGTCTAGGTGACAACTTATGGTCTAAGGAAAGACATACCCAAATATTAAGAGACTGCTCTAATGATACTTTTGTAAGATTTCCTCATAGAGTCTCTTTGTGGGTCTGTTCAGTGCGAGCTATATCCTTATAGGTCCACCCACGACTTTAGCTAAGACATCTCCATATCTGTAGCTCATGAGGTCTTTACATTGTATCTGAATACAAGTAAATAAGTTGTGCTAGTCTTATCCGAGATTACTGATCCCCATTCTCAGTGTCTCTAGACTAGGAACATAAAATTAGGAATAAACATCCGGTATCCTTAAATCCTCATGATCGTGATCTCATCACAGATACTCAATAGATACCTATTTTATTCCAAGGAGTTTATCTAGTTACTCATATAATATATTAACAATAATATTGAGACAAAATATGAAACATGATAAAGAGTGCTTTTTATTTATTTGCGACAATATAAAAAGGTCCACATATGTCCTAATCTAATCAAAAGATTGTCTCTAGGACATCCATATACTAACAGGCCGTAGGTGTAGGACTCCTACATGTTGGATGAAGAATGGAGAAAGGCAATTACTAGGACCAGAACTGGGCCAAGTGACTACAGAACAAATTGAGATGATTAGAGACCGGCTGAAGAAAGCACAAAGTCGTAAGAAGAGTTACTATGATGAAAAGCACAAACCCCTTGAGTTTTCTGAAGGGGATCGTGTATTTATTAGATTGTCACCAACCACAGGTGTTGGGCGTGCTTTGGGAGTTAGAAAGTTGAGTCCACGGTTCATCAGGCCCTACCAGATAATAAAAAAGGTTGGACCAGTGGCGTATCAGCTTGCTTTACCTCCCAACTTGGCGAATTTACATGATGTGCTCCATGTGAGTAAGCTCCGTAGATACATATCTGATGATTCACATATTGTTCAGCTTGATGATGTAGGGGTTAAGAAGGACCTGAAGTTCGTTGTGGGACCTTTTAAGGTTGTAGCTCGAGATGAGAAGCGACTTAGAAATAGAGTCATTCCCATAGTCAAGATCAATTGGGAAGGATTGACACCAGAGGACGCCACATGGGAGCGGGAGGATGATATTCTCCGGCGATATCCTGATTTTTATATCAGGTATGATTCGATTTTGAGGACAAAATCTTTTTAAAAGGCGTGGTGAATATAATAACCCTAATGTTATAAATTCAAAAATTAAGGATTATTATGAAGGCCTTAGGGTCATAAATGGAATGGGGATGAAATTCTAAGAAGTTTGATATCTATATTGATGGTATTTGACATAGATGGATTTTTATCTGTTATTTTTGATTGCTGACGCAGTAACAGTCAGTAGAATAGCTCCAATTGACCAAAATTGAGTTAGAGAGTTATTTTGATGATACGAGTATCATAAATGAGGTTAGTATATGATTTGATGAAGTTTGATACCCATATTGGGGTATTTTGAAAAAGTCACTTCTGTCGGGTATTTTGTACTGTTGTAGAAGTAGCCGGTAGAATACCGGAACGGGAAAAAGATGAGAAAATGGAAAGAAATACCAATATATGCCTAACAAGTCATAATTAGACCAATAATATTAAAGTTAAGGAGATTATGAAATTCGGGTACAATTAAGAACACCGGTGAAGTATACAGTTAATTAAACAGCTGTAAGTGGATCTGTGATCTACTAATCAAATTTTTAAGTTAAGAACATGATAATTAGACAAACTTAATATTAATTACTTAAAGTTTGAGTCTTAGAGGTTCCGGGTGGAAAAAGTGATAACGGTTCAGATAAAAATTACACTGTATGTCACTAAAGGACAGAAAATCACTTAAGTGACTTGGTCAAAACCCTAGAAGACTAGGGAAACCCTCCCAAACACTCCCATCAGAAGCCCACTCTCTCTCTACCCTTTGGAGATTCAAACTTTCTCCTCCTTCTCTCTAGAATTTCATCACCAAAACTCCCTCAAATCATCAAACACTCTTCACCAAAGTTGTTCCCCTCATCATCCTCTTCAAAAATATCCTATTTTTAATTTTGAAAAGCCAAATTTTCGTGGGTTTTCTTCTCCATACAACATCGTGTTCATGGCTTCCTCAAGCCATGGTGATGGTGCTTTGAGTTATACTTGAAGAACACCACTTGGATGCTTGTTTCCCTACGTTCTAGTGTAAGTTTCTTGAGTTTTTCTCTTAAAAAATCCCACCTTTGTGTTGTGTTCTTGAGTTCTAACCTTGAGTTTTCTTAAAGGTATGTTCTTTGTGGAAAGACAGCATACTTGCTTGAGAAAGATGGAAGCTTGAAGCATTGGTGCTCATTTGAAGATGTAAGCTTGAAACTTTGAAAAAATGGTAACAATAATTCCACCACCACCACCACCCAAACTATTCAGCCATCTTGAGTTCTTAAGGGGGTTGATGTGTTTAATTGATAAAAATTGGTTCTTGAGGTTGTTAAGGGTGGACAATCATGTGTAGGACCAAGGGAAATACTAAAAAAGCAACCTTTAAGCTTAAAAATGCTAATCTTGATTAAGGAATGGATTTAAACTCTAATAACTCTATTATATCAAATCTGTCCTAAATAGTATAATTAGGATTTTATGTTTAAAATTTAATTAAATAATATATTAGTGAACTAATTAAGTGTAGACTTAATTAACTAAAGAAATGGGAAAGTTGACAAGCTAAAAACCTTGTTTTTAGCACCTAAATAATTTGGCCAATTAGGGATCAATTGGGTTAGTATGTTAAATAATGGTTCAAGACCTAATTAGGATACTTATCAAGGGTTTAAGTGAGGTGGACCATGTATAATGGATTAATTAATTATAAAACCCAAAAAATGAACCTAATTAGGGTTTAGAAGCACTAATTATATAATTAGTGAAATTAATGAACTAAGACCTAATGTGAATATGTGTGAATGTATAAGTGACCTAATAATATAAAAAATCCTAAAATTAAAGTAACCTAGGGTTTTTAATCAAAGATAATTAAGGTTTGCTAATTAAACCCACTATGGTTAAATGACCAATTTTTAGGCTAACTTAGGGAGAGCATATCTCCCTCCACAGAAGTCCAATAAGGATGTTTCAAACATCATTTTGAAGCTTGAGATGTCAGATTTGTGGTGTCTAAATTTGGTACCATTTGAAGATATGTAGCATTCTGTAGGTCCGATTGAGTGGAGACTGCCCAGGGAGGCCATGTGCAGGGGCTGTGCGTGGTTGCATCTTCCATGAATTTTTTTCTTCCTCATTTCTTACTCAATTACGCTCATGATATACCGAATTTAAGCTTAATATTTCTAGTTTTTTGTATAAAAAGTTGAGAGCAATTGGTTTAGTATATTTTCCAGAATCGCAGAAATGGTGAGGAATGTTTGGGGCTCTGTTTGGGATTGGCGGACAGTTTTATTGTCTAACTTCAAACAGTGATAACCGAAGCTAGAAAACTCCAAATGAGGCATGTGATACCTTGTTGGAAAGTTAATTAAGTCTAGATTAATATACTAAAATATGAGAATATTCTAACAAGAGGGTTGCACACAGTGACTAAAAAATAGAAGCGTGTACAATTATAAAAACTCGTAAAAGTGAGATTTAGGCTAAGTGAGTTTATGGGAACCCTTAGTAACTAATAATAATTAATGTTCAAGGTTAGGAATGACATATATTGATGATAAATGTCTTGATTAGTTGTAAGTTAAGTGAAAAATGCCTTAATCTAAGAGAGTTTATTAAATGACTAAGTATCTAATGAGTTATTGTGGACTTAGTGAACAATTCCTTATGCACTAAAAACATGTAATTAAGGAATAAATGATCTAGACTTGTAATGGGCATATTATTGGCATATAAGTATGGAAAGTGGAATCATTAAATGATTAAGTCTTGGATAAGACTTGATTAATTAATATGTAATTAATGATGTGAATGGTTCCTACTCTAGGTGTGCTAGAGAACCTTGCACTTGAGGATTGCGGTGGAGCATACGTATTATATTGGAGTATGGGCTTGTGATAGCTCCTTAAGGTAAGCTCCTGGTTTTGGTTGCTCCTCTCTTGTGGCCCCACCATGATGCTGGACATTATGATCGAATTGTATGAAAGTATGTGATGTATGGTATATGTGCATTTATTCACATTCATATAGATATTATATGATTATTGATATTATGATGATGCACTGATGATGTATGGTATGAGGTTCCTGGCCAGTGAATATGTATGTAGGCTGCCTATGGCTTGACCCTGGAAGTTATTTCATACTACAGTCGTTGTTGACTGTCTATGGTTTGACCCTGAAAGTCACACTAGGCATGTGGGACATATCAGTTAGCTATTCTTTGGGAGAGCCCTTGAATAGTTAACCAGAGGATGATGTATGATGCTATGTTTATGTTGTATATTTGTTATATATGCTTTATATCTGACTTGTCATGCAGGAAGTGGGCTCAGGGGATTAGAGGATCCTCTAAAAACCTTGAGCTTACTGAGATGTTGTTATCTCACCCTTTTTTGGAGATATCATTTCAGGTACTCATGGTAGCAGTGTGCAGTCTAAGGGCAAGGGCCCAACTATGTATTAGTGGATTGTGGCTGATGTTACGTTTATTTTTATGCCGTTATGTTATTATGTGGCATGTGTAGTAATATGTTGCTGTATGTAATAATGCTCAGGATTATTACTGTTTGAGCTTTTGGATTATTGATGTATGTATTATGAGTTATGTTATATGCATGTGATGAGTACACAAAGACATGATGTATAGATTTATTAATTTGGGCACAGAGCCATTATGTATGTACTGACCTTATATGGGGATTGCAGTCCACGTGGAACTCGCAAGCTATCTGTTATGTAACTGTGTCTATCAGGTGTAAATGTGCGTGAGATTATGATCTCCCAGTTATCCGTTAAACATCCGTTAAGCTGTCTGTGAGACTATGGCAGGAATGACACTTGTTGTCATATCCGGTTAGTCAATGGCCACTAATACTGGCTAATGGGATTAATTAGTAACTATATGTGTTAGATTTATGTTTTCTCAATATCTCATGTGAACGATTTTGGAAATGTTTTTAGAAAACATTTTGGAAAAAGTTAACTCATATTTTTAAGAGACGATTTTATATTTATTAAAAGAGTAAATACCCTTTTTGGTCCCTGAAAATATCTACGAAATTCTTTTTAGTCCCTGGCAATAAAAAAGGACCAAATTGGTCCCTAACAGTATGTAAAAAGGGCTACGTTAGTGACAGAAGAGTTGACATAAGGACTAATGTGGCCCTTTTTTCATAATTTTAAGGACCAATTTGGTCCTTTTTTATTGCCAGGGACTAAAAAGGATTTCATAGATATTGCCGGGGACCAAAAAGGGTGTTTACTCTTATTAAAATAAAGTCTTCCGCTGTGTACGCTAAATATCATTTATGTTAACAACCGGAGTACTACATTTAGGGGTGTTCGCGGTCTGGATTGGATCGGTTTTGGAAGCAAAACTCATCCGATCCAATCCATTCGGTTTGATCATGTAATCATCCATTCGGTTTAGATTTTTTTTCAAATCCGATCCGATCCAATCCAATTTTTTTCGGTTTGGATTGGATCGGTTTTCGGTTTTTTGAATATCCTAAAATTAGTTTCATGATTATTGTACAAATAACATCTTTTGTATATATTGGCTTTGTAAAAAAAAATATTCGAAATACAAAAATATCAGTAAACAATATTATAGTTGATGAGACGTGACTAAATTTTTTTTGGGTTTAGTTGATGAGTTAATGGGTCTTGAGTTTAGAAATTTTTGGGCTATGATTGGAGAAAGGACAAGTAGGTAGAGGATAATTAATATATTGGATCGGTTTCGATTGGATCGGTTTTCATCAACCCATCTGAAAACCGATCCAATCCAATTAAAATTTGCGGTTTTCTTTTGGTTTCCGATTTTTCGGTTTTCGGTTTATTCGGTTATCGATTTTTCAGTTTGGTTTTTGCGGTTTGAATCGGTTTGGATCGGTTGATGAACACCCCTAACTACAGTGTGTTACAATCATATACTATGATATTTTCGATATATTGACCGCTATATTCCTATGATAGGGTTATGTTGGATTGAATTGTGTTGAGATGTTGGAAATGGAATTGGAATATTATTTTTTAAAATCGTGGCCACCTAAAATGATTTTTTAGTTATTAACCCGATAGAGTCGTTTTCAAAATAATATTAAATTAATTAATATTGTTCAAGTGGGAGAATGTTAGAAATTTTCCTTTATGTGGGCAATATTAATTAATCAATTTTCTGTTTTAAAATTAATCGGGTTAATGGATATTCCAATTGTATTATTTTGACTAGCGCATTGTGATCATATTGAGTTGGCTTATGGCATGTATTAGTATTGGGCTTAGTTGGGCAGCACAGTGTAGGCATTAATGTTTGATTGGGCTTCTGTGACGGGTGAACCCATCAGACACACTGTTGATTAGGGTTTTGCTAGATCCTTTCTTTAGCTTTTTTATATTGGGGTTAAGCCTCATGAGCCGTCATGCTCCCATCGCCGAGGCTTCCATTTTAGGAATAGGTGATAGAGAGGAAGATCCTGACATGCAATCCCTTCTTTCCTTTGACTTTGTGATGATCCAACAAGATACGCACAATCTCAACTTTGATTTCAATATTTTTAGGTATTTTATAATCATATACATTATCTAGGGTTAATAACTCTTACAAGATTTTGATATTTTATTTGATAAATTTTGAGAAAAAAAGGAAATAAGATAGTGTAGATCCATAATCTTGTCCTCCTCATTGTCACAAGCTCAATGTAGCTATGCAGACAAACAGTGAAATTGCTATGTCGCACCATGTTCATATGTATAATGTTATTTCAACCGTTTTCTAAGAGGATGAGGGTTACGAAAAATCTTATTCATTAAACTTGATTGATCAACGGTGTCAATGTGGCAAGTTTATAGCATTTAAATACCCATATACAACCATGCTATAGCTGCATGCATGCTTGCATGTGCATATTCACCCTATGTGGATGATTTTATTTATTCATATTAATATTCTTCATTTGTACTCATTTGAATGGCAACTAATTAGAAGTAAAGAAATTATTCCTCCAATAAATATAAACTTGAGGAGGGTTTACTGCCCAGAATTTCGAGATCTGTGAATGCTAGTAACATTTGTGAATGCTAGTAACATTTGGAGAGGTATATGCTCATCTTGGAATCATATATTGGCAGGATCTAAAATATTAATAGGTAATGGAAGACAAACTAGATTCTGGATGGATTGCTGGGTTCCTGGAATGGGTAGGCTTACTGAT